AAAATTCCAAGGGAGCATTGATGGGCAAACGATCGACAAACCTTTGCAAAAGAAACATTTTGAATTTTTTAATATTGGGGGGCCAATTTCACACGGCTTTTCTGCGTTTCTTGTTTCATAAATAACTTCAAATCTGGTATTCCTAGATGCAAAAGTATCGTGTATAAATATCCGTCTATAGAAATATTGAGAAAGTACCATTTTCCAACGTGTCATTTTTTAAAGCAGAGTGTTCCTCTTTACCAGACAATGAATAGGTTACACACCCCTTAATAATGAACTGCAAGGGTACGATGACTGGATCAGTTTACATCAGATTAGGTAGCAACATCTGATTTACAATGTGTGTTGCAACAACTGTTGCAATTTCGATAGCATTAATTACGGTTACAGCCGCGGATTACCCGTTCCATGTGGGCGCAATACGAATGATAAATGTGGAGTTGAAGCGCGAGAACGCGAGTGAGAGGTCATCATCCTCGCGTGCGGAATGTTTTCATTAAAGGGCTGCGCGTAGCTTGCTCTAATCGCGCGTTGCAATATAATTGTCGAATCCGAACCAGGCTCAGCTTCGTGCAATTAAATCCACAAATTTATCACGAAACAGCGACTACTGAAACACGGAACCAAATACATTCCTCAATTGCCGAATCACTTTTAAAATTACCACTTTCGCGAATCATCATTAAGACCAGTAGCATAAACTGGAAAGATACCATTTAGAAATTTACCATTAACAGAAGTGTTTACAAAATTGAATTTACGAAAACATACCAGATATAGTGTAACTATTTTCAAAAGTATCGCTTATACAAACGCTTTACTTAAACCTACCATTATAAATACAGGGTGTTCAAAAGAAAGCATTCAATATTTATATGGTGTATAGGGCACACTGTACCGAGTAAAAAAGCTTTAGTAAACATAGGTCCAGAGGTCAACCGTTTCTCGGATATAAACATTTTTGTTTGCTAGTATCATGATTGACTTACTACTGGATTTTCGATATTTATAGAAGATTTTCCACGTGTCCATCGCTCATTTCTGTACACGAAATTGAAAAAACGAAATTGACGAAATTGTCGGCACTTGAATGGGAACATTCAGAACGCAGTTTATGAATACTGACATAAACATCGCATGGGATGGAAGCAGCAAGTGAGTCAATCATGATACTAGCAAACAAAAATGTTTCTATTTCAGAAACGGTTGACCATTGGACCTACGTTTACTAAAGCTTTTTTACTCGGTACAGTGTGCCCTACACACCATATAAATATTGAATGCTTTTTTTTGAACACCCTGTATATCGTTCACCACCTCTGGCCCGTAATAAACAAAAAAATTGCCGACCAATACAAGCAGCGTTCGCGTTAGCAACTTTCCCGTACCGAACGGAGAGATACGACTGTCCCACTTGGATTTCCAGCTAATCCTTGGCGTTAGAAGCTCGCCCACCCTCGCTCCACCCTCTGCCAGTCTCTCGAACTCGAAACGATAATGCCGCGTACGGTTCGATAGCGGGCGTCGCGACGCCCGGCAGTCTGCCACCGTTCCATTCCATCCTGTTTCGTCCGACGTCGAGGCCACGCGCGCACACGCACACCAGCTCACGGTTTTTCGGACGGATGAAAGTGTCTCCTAAGTCCGTGACGCCAATGTGTGCGCGCCCGCTCGCGCCCTCTCTCAAGACGAGCATAGGCGTCGCCTTTTGGAAATTCGCGACGGTTCGTTAACCCTTCGGCCGCGGGGATGGCGAATCGATGAGACATGTGCCACTTTCGCCACTCGTGGAAACTCTTTTGGTGCTCCACTGCGGCGTTTAACTCGCTGCTACGGGAAACACTAATTTTATTACCGGGTATTGTCGATATCCTCCAACGAATCGAAATTGGAAATTTTTAATACTTTTCGTAGATTAATGTAGATTAATTTCTTTTCGAATATCGAATTCTGTGATATTTTCACTTTATATGCGAAAAAGACGTAGTATTGTTATCATTATGACGCAGAGAGGTGACAGATGACGCAACGAGAATAATTATGAATAGAAGAAATTAAAGATAAAGCATTATTTTTATTGCATCACAATAATAAATAGCGTACAAGTGCAAAGTGCTTGAACGGGGCATTCAAAATTCTTTCTATAGTTAGTTTAAATGAAGATACCGAGTGCTCTCAGGCACTGGGTGGGTTGATTTTCATTGCGCTAAATTTTCGTTTTGCCGAACGGGCACTAGATTACCAGTCTGATGAGTAATAGAGACGGTTCGGAATGAATGGCGACAGAAACGGTAGCTAACAAAAAGTCTACGCCAATGGATCGAAGACGCAGCGGCCGGCATGCGTTTGGCACAACGAACCGCATTTAGCCGTGAATGCAACCGTGCGATGCCATTAATTTACCGGACGATTTGCCCCGATTAATGTCCACGGTGTCCCTCGGTGCCGCAGAATCCTTGATTGTTCCCGGCGAATGAAAGGAGACACGCACCTTTCGCGGTCTCTATTTTTCCCCTGCTCGTTACGCAATTAAAAAACACCGCGGACGGTTTTAGAGTCAGCGAGTTGTTCGCGTTTTGCCAGACACGTTCCGCTCGAAACCGACACGGTCACGCTAATTCCAGAGTCGCCGGAGGAACAAGTAACCCTGCAATGGACAATTAAACCCATGTATAATTCAGGATTATCGGATTGGGAGCACCGATTCTTCGGTCGAGTACCAGAAGTGGTTTATATACATGTATAAACTTGGTATAAACTTCTTATGAACATGTTACAAACTTGTTAGATCTAGGTTGGGTAAATATCTTATAAATTTCTTGCAAACACAATGTAAACTTGGAATAAACTTATAAACACGTTATAAACAGGTAAATTTCTTGCGAACACAATGTAAACTTGGAACAAACTTATAAACACGTTATAAACAGGTAAATTTCTTGCAAACGCATTGTAAACTCGGAATAAACTTATAAACACATTCTAAACGTGTCGTAACTTTTTACAAAGACGTCGTAAACAAGTAAATACGTTACAAATTTCTTGCAAACGCATTGTAAACTCGAAATAAACTTATCAACACATTATAAACATGTCATAAACCTCTTACAAATACGTTATAAACAAGTTACGCGTAAATATCTTACAAATTTCTTGCAAAGACGATATAAACACGTCATATCGCGTGCATTTTAATATCGAGTACAGAACCCAATATAAACAAAGTTCACGCGTGTCTCGCTGATTCGTGACCACCCCTCCAGCAAACGACATGTGTAAACCTGCGAACGGACGATTTCCTCGGCGACGTGTATCAATAAAACGGATCCACCAGCAGCAAAACGGTCGACATTTTTTTTTTCCAATTTTACGTCTCGATCCCATCGGTGGGAGTTGCACAGAGGACACGGTGAACATTTTTATTAGCACGGTCAACTGCTGTCATTCGCGATAGCCCATTGGCGATCAAACAAAAGGATATTGGCAGCTCGTCGAGAGTTGGGAGGGGACGACTGAGGGTGGGGAAAAAAGTAAAGAAGAAAAACTTTTTTCCACGTGGTGTGTGGAGTGAGGGGGGAAGGTGGTTCGATCATCGTTACGTGATCTCGATGCGACAGAGGCGAAATGGATTTTTCATATACCGATAAAGGCGGAGTGGGTGTTTACGGGAGGGCGGACAACCGGGGGGAGGGTCGAGGAAGGGGTTGAAGGCTTTACGGAAACGAGGAAAAGCGCGGAAAGGCCGATAACGACCGTCGACTGTGAAGAGTCGATCGATACCCACCGCGTTTCGAGAGGATGCTACCTTGCTTGTCCCCTTCTGCTCTCCTTATCGCGCTTCTTCCGTGCCGATCTCTTCCGCGCGTCGATGATGGATGCCCCTTGAACTCCTCTTAGCATTTTTTCAGGGGAGAGAGTGGAAATATCGCCATTGAACTTTATTGCTCTTTGAGTAGGGGCTCCGTTACTCGTGCTCGGGCTCCTGACAGCTTGCGGACGGGATTGAACTTCCATTAATATTCCGAAGTAGTCGCTTTTTATGCTCATTTCAAAGTGGTATCTGCACGAAATATTAAACATTCTTTTTTTTTATATATATATATATATACAGGGTGGTCATTTTATCTGAAGACATTGAAATATCTCGAGAACTATGCATCAGATGAAAACAAATGGGTGATGAAAGTTGTTCGTTGCGAAGGGGGACATCCAATGATATCGAACTCGATCCCCCACCGCTACTCCCTGGGGGTGAGGGTGGGGGGAAGATAACAAATTTAAATGAGAACCCCCATTTCTCATTGCAGATTTATATTCTCCAGAAAAAAATATACGTAAATTGTACCTAGGAGTTTTTGCATTTTGGTTCACAGATAGCGCTGTAATGGACAACAATCAAAATGAACAAAAAAATCGTTGAAAATTTGGGGCAACTCGAGAAATACACATCAGATAAAAAAACAAATGTAGACTCGGTTGACATTCTCAAAAATGCCATTCAACAACACCATAATTGACCTCCCCCCTCCCCTTCCCTCCCACAGTGGCGCGTCGAACAGTTCCCTCTTCGATTTGTCGGGGAAATACAATGTCGAATTGGGGTTTTCCATTGGAGAATTGCAAATAATTCTCTCTCCTACCCTCAGGAGCTGGGGGTGGGGTGTCAATTGTTTTGATCTGATCTATAGTTCTCGAGATATTTCAATGTCTTCAGATAAAATGACCGCCCTGTATATAAAAATTCGACAGAGTTCAGTATCTATAAAACTTTCGAGGTGTTCAAGATTTAGAAAAATTGCCAAGTTTTCTATTTTATTATTTTCAACTTGCCAATCCTCTCCGGAATCCCCCAATCGAAATTCCAAAGCGTCACCAGTTGAAGCGTCCGGGGCTCTCGATTGTCCACTGTTAGGTCGAGGACCTATTCTCTCCCGCTAATTGGTGTTTGTGTACACGTCGAAAGCGTGTTAACGAGCGATTACGGTTTTCTGTTGCAGTGTCTGGCACGACAAACAAGAAAGAGGAAGAGACGGCGGTGGCTACTGTTGGCGTCACAGAGGAAACCACCGGTGTCCTGGGTACGAGATCCAGGACGGGGAGCGATCCTGGAGGGGGTATAGACCTTTTGGCAGCGTTACAGCTGCACAACACGACGAGACAGGGTGTTACACAGGTGCCGGGGCTGGTTAGATTAAAGCCAGCCTATTATCTTCAGGGTGAGCGTTGCCTTTATACAAATTCATATTCGCTGTGAATAATATACCAAAACGAGTACTGCGAAGTGCGTATTCTGAAACTTGATGAAAAACTGAGCAACTTTTGTCTGAACTGATTTTTGGAATAACGTATTCGTTGGGAGCTGTGATTAGTTTAAGAGTGGAATGCGTGCGGGGGACGCGCTTCCCTCACTCAGACATCCAGAAGCGTGCGCTCATCCGACGCACCATACTTTAACCTGTTATATCTTTCGATAGGCGTATTATTTCTAAAAATCGTTTGAACGAAAGTTGTGCAGTTCGAAATGAACATTCAGAATTTTCACTCCGTGTGTCTGATCTTCCTTTCAATTTTTCTAAAAACTCTCGTTAAAAGATTTCCAATTTTACATTGAGTACTATACGATACAGTAGAAATCCTCGGTGCAGTGTACCGTTGATCGTTCATAACTTGTCGAGTTATACGCTATAAAGAGTCACGTGACTCGCACGTGAGGAAACATCGAGGACCACCTTATCTTTTATTCAGCATACAACACATATTACAAGGGTATAACAGGGTATATGAGAGTATAGAACACATTATAAAGCGCTTTCCATTATCGATGCGGTTCGATTTCCTTTCTCCATCGGAACATATTTTTTTTTCCGGCAATAAACCACGACTACGCGTACTCGTGCGCGACGTCCGTAATAAAATAAAATGTTTCCAACGGGGATGAATAAATCATTTTCATACAATTTGCACTGTTGTTGGAATTGCGTGCACGTTGTACGCGATGCGGTAAATTTCACGAGGAGAGACCATACCAATTCGACGGGCTTCTCTTAACCCGAATATAGCCTTATTTGCATATTGGAGGGTCGTTTCCTAGACTACTCTGGCTAGTAATCATCGCCGGTCGTAAAGACGATTATTGCTTTTCGTAAATCACGCGCTGCTTCCTTCTTCAGTGTTTTCGCAACAAGATAGCCCCAATTACACTAGGACACGTGTACAACAAAAGGCAGAAGGAGTGAATGGGGTCACTCTGAAGGTTAAAAAGCTTTTTTTTCTTCTATAGTACATGGAATTTGAAATCCATATTTATTTGAAGTCATTGGAGTGATAAACAATCGCTGCTTGTTAGCCAGAATGTGATGATTACATAACCATAGATCAATCGATATTAAGAAAGGTTAGTTTCATAGCCTTCGTTCGTATTGCTTCTACCCTTTACTGGAATTAATTCTCCCCCGAATTTGTACCCCTCCGCCGAAACGCGAACGACCACACCCTTGATTAAAAATAACTCACCCCTATAAAAAGCAATCCTTTTCTCGAATCGACAAATCGCTACACACCGAGCCCCATTGATATCTCGATATTAAATACAATCCCTCGGAATTGCCGCGCGTAATATCGCATATCCAATTACGCAGGTCCTCCACTCCCGCTACGTAAACGTTTGCACCCTCTGGTCTTCTCATCCCCCATGCTTTCGTGCACCCGATCGGTATTAGAGGAACGTGCAGCCAGGCTGAAAGCGTGGGCGACGGTGCAACGTCCGCGAAAAGCGAGTGGTATCGCTCTGGGGGAGCGGAGGAGGGGGTGGATGTTCAGGCCAAGGGTGGCTGTCAGGAGGGGTTTCCCCGAAAGAAATTTCAATTATCGGAGCCACCCCTGCCAGCCTGGCACCCTTCATCGATAGTTTCGCGGAAGTAGCCGAACGTTCTCTGCGGTTTGCAACATTCAAAACGAAGGGAAACGCTCTTTTCGTTTCTCTTTATGCCACTGCAGCCCTTGGCCTCCACCCCTTCGCTTCCTGCCAGTTTCCGTTGTCTGAAATCGTTGGTATTGTTCCAAAGAATCGTTCAGCGAGAGTTTCTGGCAAGCTACAATGATTTCCTTTCGCGCTGAATTATCCCTTTTGTCGCCTTCGAGTTTGTTCCAGATGAGACGTTCATAATTCGTCGATACTTCCCATCATTAAATGGCCGTCGGACAATTGGCGGGAATTACGAAAATAATCTGAAATTGGGAATTGATTGTAACCCGATATGAAACGTGAAAAGGGAAATAAATTTTAAGAGATTGCTAGGACTGCTTTAACCCTTTGCACTCGAAGCCTTTTTTTCTGGTATCTACCAGCAACTCGAGATGTTTCTGAACATTCCATCGCTATGAGTTCTAAGCTATCGAGATTTTAGAACGAGGTTACCTTTACCTCGCCAACAATCATTTTATTGATACGTCGAGCTCCAAAGAAATTGAATCTAAAAACTTAGGTATTTTAGATTTGCTCCGTGAAACCTAATGGTGACTGAGAGTCGCCTCTCGAGTGCAAAGGATTAAAAAAGAAAAGGGCTCGACTTCCAGAATCTTTATCAATCAGAGATTTTATTCTCGTATTCATCTGTTTTTGTCATGTCATCCTTACTTGAAGATTTATTCGTTGCCCCCAGCCGAGTGTTCTCTACATAAATAAATAGTTAACAGCGCACTCTAGGCCTCTGTTATTCTTCTCGTCACGCGCTCACCCTCGATAAATATTTCCTTAGATAGTCGATCGGGGAGGAACCCATCCCCGAAATTCAGTTCATTCTGTTCGTATTGGAAACGCTTCGCAAGGGAACCCATTGTGACCGTCGGACAAAGGAAGCGAACGATACACACCGACACGTGGCGTGGAGTTTTCTCCGAACATGGAAAACAAGATTTCGCGATTCCCCTTTGTAGTATAGCGGGGAACGAGCCCACTGGTCCTGGAATTGGGTGACCCCTGGGGAACCCCTCTGTAGGGTCGGCTGATTTCATCTCTGCGCTATTTATTTCCTGAGATGAGTAACTTTCTCTTTGACCGTCTTTACAGATGCTGAGGTCATGAAGTATTGACCTGCGAATCCTTACGTCGTTCCTCAGAGACACGTAACCCGTGTATATTTCATTATTTAACAACCTATAAAGAATGCAAAATCACAGGGGTGTTAATGGTTCCAATTAGCCTCCATTTAACTCGAGTAACTTAGCGATTTTCTATCCCCTTTTCTTGGACACTCGAGTAGGAGCGCTCACGAGATTCCAGAACGTGTACCAATCCCCATGGAGCGATTACCCACGGGCTCGGAACACCTCAACATTCGCCTCGTAGCAAACCACACATGGATAATTCATCAGACACGGCTCGTAGCCAGGGGAAAACATTGGACCCCTTTGGATGGTCCTCGCGTAAACGAAAAAAAAAAGAAAAAAAAAAATGGTAGCCGTCGGTTTATTGCAGCCCCCTGGTGTCCGGTTGCTTTATTAAGCTCTCGGCGTGTCTGAAACTCGAGGCGAGGAACTCATGGCGTCGCGGGCCCAACGGGAAGCCAGCCAGTGGACGACCGTGTGCACTTTATACGCGCCTCCGTGTCCCATGGGGGGTGTTTGCACTTGCATTCGAGCGGGAGTACCCCGATCGTTTGCACGGGACGGATTACACGGTTCGCCGCATGATCGACGCGGAGGAACACCGGAGGGAAAGTCAAAAATTAATTCCCTTCAGGGCATGGCGTGGTTAATTGAAGGACAATGGATACGTGTTTTGCATGGGGGGACCGTGGGGAGGGGGATCGAGGCGTTATGACGCGTTGAACGAAACTTTATCGTCCGTGTCTTATGCGAGCTAATAGAGTATGTTTCCTCGGATACAGAGGGTGTCGCGTTACGGGGCGTCGATCGACTGCGCGCGTTCCACAGGTGACCCCGAGGGTTCGAGAGGACGGCAGGTGACTCTTCGTCGTGTACGAGACGAAAAGTTTGGGGCACGGTTCTTTTTGCAAATGGCAGGAACTTTGGAAATGTCGGAGGCAGGGTTAAACGAACCTGGACGTCGTCGTTTTGGTTGAAGGTCTCGGATATGGTCTCAGGAGGGGATGAAGGTTAGGGCTGCGGAGGCTGGCAATCTTTTATTATTACAAAAAGAGATTTTTCCAATATGCTACCGAGTGACTTAAAAGTTATACAGCTGCATAGAGATTTAACAATTTTTGTCACATACTTAACTAATTGACCTGTTCTATAAGTAGCGTGGGTCACTTTTGACCCACGCGTCGCAGGATGCAAATAGGAGGGATGAAAGATTAGGGTTGTAGAGGCAGGCAACGTTTTATGTCTCCGAAAAAGAGACTTTGTCACATTCTATAAGTAACGTGGGTTACTTTTGACCCACGCGTCACAGGATGCAAATTGCAACGTAAAACTCCAACTTTGAACTTCATCTAACGTTTCGAATCATTAAATGTACTTTTCGTCCCCTATTTCCGAAGAAAGATTTTCATTTTTCCGGTCGAAAACGCACAATCGCGTTCGTTAGGGACGACAAAGATTCCGCTGAATGTTCGCCGAGCGAAATCGAGCCGGAAACTGCAGCCAATCGAATTTCCATGTCAACGTGATTGCGTAACTACGAGCGGGAACGGTGAATCGGGCGAATCGATGCGGCCCACCAAAAATTTCGGCTGACCTAGATCGCAGATCTGCAAACTCTTTTGTCGCCGAGCGGAAAACTGTTCGCGAACTCCTCTGGATTTGATGGACCTAGACCATGTAAAGCTTCTGCTGAATTTTGTAGGACATCCACTCCATTTTAATCGAAGTTAGACGTTTCTAGTTACAAAATAGTTGCAGTATCATTTAAAAAAAAAAAAAATAACTTACTAGATACTGTCCAGTATGGTGGTTTTAATTTCACAGTTTAATTCAAATTCACTTTACTTAACATCTCACCTTTGAAATTATTTCTTTTAGTATCGTATTAGCCCTTTATGGGTTTGATGACCGTACAGTTAATTTGAAAGGAATCCAAACCAAAGATTTCCAATTGGCTCAATCGAAACGGTTACCATAACCTAAAGAAAAAAATCAAACATATTTTGTAAATAATGAAAGGTGGTCCATAGTAGAAAAATACCATGTATAATTCGTTACCGTGTCTGGTTCAATTGGGGTGCGATTATTATAATAAGTATTGCGTGCAAGGCTCGATTGAGACGCGAGAATCATTGGGTTTACTACTGCAGGCGAGGAGAGGGAGCTCCGACTGAACGAGGCGAGCTTCGAACGAGCGGCCACGCTACTCCGGCGGGTTCCGGAATTCACTATAGCCGCCGCTCTGCGACAGGAGGAGGCCAATTCCGGGACTATCGTCGCCTTTTCACATGGGAACAATAGGTATGAAGCGTGTAATTTTATTCCAACCGCTGATTTTCGCGTCCCCCCGACCGGTGGTCCGGAATTCAAAGTGACTCGAACGGACAACGCGTCGGAACTCGAGCTATGCGTGAACGAAATACGAGATCAAGCTTCGAGAATCTTCAGATTCCTTTTTCTCTCATCTCCAGACCGCTGGGGTTCTTTTTTAAACAAACAGTCTACGACGAAAGGGAAAGCAGGATGGTCGGTTGAAACGAGCTACTCATTTAGACTGGACTCAAATTTACATCAAGTGCTTAACCAAGAAATTTGAATGTAATCAGGACCAGTTATTGTTTCGTTACTGTGAAATACTGTAGAAAAAAGTAGGTTTTGTACAAAACTCGGTAAATACATGATTTCCGACATTTTTTTTTTGACTGGGAGGAACATCATGGCACCAGACTCGAAATATATTGTCTGAGTAGGTTTGGGGTAGTTTTTGGTGGGGCAGCAATATTGAATACCGTTAATGTACATACTGTCTGAATAGGTTTGGGGTATATTTAGGTGAGCCGGCAATATTGAATACTGTTAATGTACATACTGTCTACACGGAAATACTGTCTGAGTAGGTTTGGGATAATGTATGACGTTTTTGGCGTGGGTTGCAAAATTGAATACCGGTAATATACGTATTTTCTGAGTAGGTTTGGTGTAGTTTTTTGTGGGAGCGGCAATATTGAATACTGTTAATATAAACAATTCATGTTCCTCCATGGAAACAAAAGTTGAAAATGACGTGATACCGAGATCGGTGCAAAAAAAAACACTTTCTGAACTATTTCAGTTTTTGACTGGGGGGGGGGGGGGAGTGGTGAAAAAGTTAAGGGTTAAGATGACCACCACTGTAATCGCCAAGACAAGGGCTATCTATGATAAAAAAAAAAATGAGCCCGATCGGAGTGTTTTCTTAACCTTAACCGTCAAATGCAATGATCGCATAACATATCTGATTAATCATGGCGGAATAATATCACACGTGCCCTATTACAGCATGTAAGGCGAGGGTACAGTTAGGCCAAGTACTATAGGCACCATCCAAATACCATTCGTTAAAGGTCAAGTATAATCCAAGCAAAATGGCGTCGTCGAGAAAGAGTTAAGAATCCCCCCCATTGTCTTTGCTGATCGCGTTTAACAGCGATTGAGCGACGTATCGCTAGCAACGATGCTTAAACAGAGTCCACGAACTGGAAAAGGTAGAAAAGCCAGTCTGAAGGAAGTTACTGTGTCAATTGTTGAGCCGGGATGAAGAAGAGCACTTAACCCCAAAGTAGTCGCACCCTCTGTTGGCACGTGAGGAGTGCAGTCTAGTCGTTTTGACCTGGCTGACACAAATTGGATGCATGCACCTACGTGTCCACGTATTAGACGGTAATTAACACGCTCCACCGAGCAGAAAACACGGCCAGTTTAAACGGGATTTAATGTTAATTCACCGTTGTCCCAAATTGCAGATCCGTCGCTGGGATTTAGCATAGACCAACGTTCCAGAACCCTGTCGAATCTTTTGGTTAATTTATGACGTTTGGCGGGTCGTTACACGCTTTGACGCGTCCTCCTGCACTTGCGTTTATGCTAACGAATCGCGGAATAACGATCCTAACATGGTTTATCAACATTTTAACTACAGGTCTGTTTAAATGCAGCCTGGAACGCAGAAGAGGACCTTTTACATTTTTGGCTGACGTTAAACTCTGTTTGGATTCATATAATTTATACGTCAATTTATACTGTCACTATGACAAAATCCTTTCTCTAGGTAGACACTGAAATTATAATAAAATCCCTGTAAATAAAGTGTCGATAAAGCAGCACAAAAGTCGAAGCTGCAACGATAAACGCAAAACGTTAATACTCTCTCAACTCTGACTCGATCACGTATTCCATTTAATCCATGCACATGTTTCAATTAGGAGCTCCGAACGGGCTTTAATCGATCTCCAGATGTTAGCGTATTACGTTAGCCGCGTTGTTGAACCAATTGCTGCGCCAAGTTATTCAATTAAATAGCAACGTGATAGGGACAGTGGTCTTCAACAGCCGTTTGATTCCGATCCTAACCTCTTGACTCGAGTGCACTAGTCCTCTTAATTTACTATAATTTTAAATAAATAATAATAAATTTAGAAGCTTTTTGCCTATGCCACAAAGGATTTGGAACTCACTTAACATCCCCTGTAACATCAAGGGACATAGCTTCAACTTCTTAATCGCGTTAAGACTCCTTGGAACCTAAGAGGTTCATCCCCAATTAAATATAATTTTAAACTAATATAATTTGCGATTCGCAGATATTTGGAGCTGCAGAGCAGCGGTCGTAAGGACGAGCTTCGTCTTCACTACGTATCACGCCGAGACGGGACTGTCCACGTGGAGGCGTTTCCTTTCCGACTGGCCGACGGCGCCTGGCACAGGGTCGCCCTGAGCGTAAGCGGCTCGCAGGTCGAGCTGCTCGTCGACTGTCATCCCTTGTACAGGCGACTGCTTCGGCCCGGACCACCTGACACCAATTTCACCTTGCCACAACTTCAGCTCTGGGTAGGCCAGAGAAACGTCAGGCACTTTCTCTTCAAGGTAAGAGCCGTTCATTACCGGTCTCTTTCCCCAATTTCTCCTAAACAATGTTACAACTACTGGCCGTAGCTTGCCAGGCGTTGGGGCAATGTAGGCCATAGACGTGAAAATTCAGAAAACAGGAGATTCGATTTGGATCACGCTGTATATTCAAATTTAGCAAGCCCAAGGTCTACGGGGTTCCTAAGTTCAATTACGAAGGGGTTTGATTAGTTTCATGTGGGATACGGTCTCTCCAGTGTGAGATTAGGAAATCGATTCAGAGCTAGAGTACTGTTCTTGAGAGTACTTGTAATGTTTACTTGTAATCCTGACTCAACGCTGGACCGAGATAAGTTGGTACGATTTTGGCGCCTCAGGGTGCTTTGCAGGATGTGAAGCTGATACCAGGGCCCCATGGCTATCTCTCCCAGTGTCCTCAGCTCGATTCGTCCTGTCCCACTTGCGGTCAATTTTCTATATTACAAAACACGGTGGAGCAGCTGATGCATAACCTCAACGAGCTGACGCGTAGGGTGAGTAAATGTTAACCCACTACTCACCGTCCTGATGAATCAAGTTCCGTCGTCTTCCACGAATTTCAACTTTCGCTTGGGCGAACGACTCGTGCTCATTGACGTCCTTCCTTTTAGCTAGCCGCTGCAGAGGGCAGAATAAGCAAAGTCGAGGAGTGCGAGTGCCAAAAGTCGTGCAGGATTAATGGCACCGTCCACGAAGACGGTGCGACCTGGAAGAAGGACTGCCAGCAGTGTTCCTGCGTCCATGGCGAGATCGAGTGCAGGCCGACGCCCTGCGCTCCTGTCACCTGCAAGAATCCTGTCATTCCTCAGGGACAATGCTGTCCGATTTGCTTAAGTAAGTACTCCATAAGTGGTCCGTTATCCGGCCGAGCATACGGTCCAAGAGTATAGCTGGCTGCTATGGTCATGGCTATTTAGAGCTAACGTTTACCATAGAGGAGCTCTAACTTGCTCAGAGGGGCACAACACTGTAAACACCATGGTCCTTTTTTTTTAAATCCTCACTTGACGTCGTGGCCAATAACCCAGTTCGTCGAAAAGTTCGGTGAATCATTACAAATGTTTGAAAACGGTTCACAACCAAGCTCTTTATAAAGAATTTCTGAACGGACCTCTTCTTCGGAGACTTTACAATGTTGTGCCTCGTAAGTTTTTCATGATTGCTGGGTAATCCGCATCCTGCTGTGTCTGTTCCCAGAGCAATGTTACTTGCACGGCGTGATTTACGATCACGGTGAGAAAGTCTCGCCGAAACAGTGCGTCGAGTGCGACTGTTTCGACGGTAGCTTCACCTGCCAAAGGTTCGACACGGAAACAAAATGTCCACGATTGCCTTGTCCACCCAGCGAGCAAATAAGCGTGGCCGAAGAATGTTGCAAGTTCTGTCCAGGTACGTTCGCACACGGAACATTAATGGTACCGCTACTCTAATCTCTTGAGACGTTTACCACATTTACAGCATAAAGAAGGGTATAGTCGAGCGAAATAAACGCCAGCGGTTAACGTAAAGTCGATAACGCCATCATTGCCATCGCTAGCCGAACATTCTAACAACGTCTCGCACGATAATAATCTATTAACCATCATACAGCCTCTGGCAAAGGGTTCCTCGCTCGGTAAACTCGCGTGACAATGGCGAAAGGTACCGTAGGTGAAGCTATAAAGTGGACTTTTTCAATTAATTTAACCGGATGACTCTTTGGGTGGTAGAATCTAAATGTTCGGGAGTTTAAACGACCATAACGTAAAGAATTGTTTCACATGACGTGGCCAAAGAGTCTCCTCAACTATACCTTGCCTATGCTAAGCAGTTTCCACTAGTACGATTCATTCCACTAGGAAGCTCTTTGCCAGAGGTTGTCCTCATCGCTAAAGCAGTCACTGCTAGTCGCTGTAGACCATTAACTAAGAATAAAAAAAGAAAGAGCGATGCATGCCGCGTCAGGTGAGTCCCAAGACTAGCCTAACTCACTTCTCATTGTCATCTGACGCGCTCGCCATTAAAGCTTCGCGAATGGTCAGCATGCAAAATTAACGAGATCTAAATCCTGGAAGCTGACAAACAAACCAAAACCAAATACACTAATCGAATGTTCTAACCGTCTCTCTTCATCTGCCTGGCTAACCCAATTTACCCAGGGGTGGACTACTGCGCTAAGGGCCACAAGTGTCACGCTAACGCGTCCTGCCTGAACCTCCAGACAACCTACGCCTGCCACTGCGATATCGGTTTCCAAGGGGATGGTCATAACTGTCACGGTATCTAATGCTTTCTCCTCTCTAACTAAACGCGCGCGTATTAACCTTCGTGCACCGTCTCGATGGGAAATTTCTGATCGACCACGTGCAATCCCCGATCGATCCGGCCGCGTGAAATATTTAAACGGTAATGTTGACACGCGGAGAACGTGACATGTGTTTGGACACGCGGTCCCACCACGTCCGTGTTGAAAATCCGGACCGTTGGTTCGACGGGGGACGCTCGTGGTTGAGGAATCGCGATGATGGGGATGCGCGTTCCAGCCTTGGGACGGTGATGCCCACGTTTTTTTAACGGTTTGAACGCCATTCCATAGGTGGAGCTAGGATCAGCCACCAGTTTTGGTCGCACAGGTTCGATCAACTTGTCTCGAGATGAGATTTAGAGGTCCAGTGTGTTGGAGGGGGCTAAAACTGGTGGCTGGAGCGCTGCACTACCGCTTAAAGGTTAGCTTGTGCTGTGAGTTTTGGTGAAATCTTAAGTAAACTGTCACTTATTTCGGATTCGTGAGGCTATTACTACCTGGTGACTTGAAGTTAATGTGGGTCCTGCTAGAATGGAGTGTTCTTGTGATTGATCATAACACGAGCGATCCTAAACTTCTGAGCGGTAGTGCATTGTATCAGCGATTCCTGCCTTCCAATAACATTGTAATTCGTTCTACGAGGAGAGGACTACAAGCAGAAACATCCTTCTCCAACAAATTATGTCACAGATTACAGGTATCAATACGGTCCTGTTATAAAAATTCAATCCTAAAGGACGTATGATCCTGCTGATGATCCTGCTGATGATCCTCTCCCCGCAACGAAAGCACTTTCTTCAAACGTTTATTGAATTTTACGCTGACACAATTTGTTGACGATTCAGATGTAGACGAGTGCAAGCAGCAAGGTGGCTCAGAGGGCCACCACTGCAACGCCAACACACAATGCGTGAACGTGATCGGTTCCTACACGTGCGAGTGTCTTCCGGGTTATCACAGAGTCGATAAGTTCAATTGCGCAGAGCTGGACGAATGCGCCACCGGTCACCACGCGTGCGACGAACACGCCACCTGCGTCAACACCGCCGGCAGCTACTACTGCATCTGCAAGGACGGCTACACTGGCGATGGATACGCCTGCAAACGTACAGTATTCGTTTCCTGACCGATTAACCCTTTAACCTATGATTCAAGTTCGCACCAATCCGAGCCATAGTAAATCCCCTAAGCCCCTTGGAGTAGGTCGATAAATAAGACTCGAGCGAACCATAGTTCTCACTGATTTCATCATGTCAAAGTTTACTCGTTATCAACGCTAACCTCCGCTCCTTCTCTTCAGCTGTCTGCAATCAGACTTGCCAGAACGGTGGCGAGTGCGTGGCGCCAGGAAGGTGTTCCTGTCGACGCGGTTACATCGGCAACAGCTGCGAACTCGACCTGGACGAGTGCGCCAGCGATCTCCACAGGTGCCATCAGTCCTCGACGTGCTTCAACATGCCCGGGTGGTACTACTGCCGTTGTAAACCTGGCTACAGAAGCGCCCTCCACGACAGCACTCAGGGCACCCAATGCCTCGACATCGACGAATGCAACGATCAAACGATCGAGAGAAGGCACACGTGCCACCCCAGCGCGAAGTGCGTCAACACCGAAGGAGGCTACGAGTGCGTATGTCCACTTCAGGAGGACAATCACACCGCGGAAGAGTGCAGGCTCAGTAAGTGTCCAGCTATACAAATACCATGCGCATTGTAATCCTATTGTTTACTGACAAAGAAATTCAATATATCAAGAGGTAGAACCGATATCGATTAGAGTTAACCCCTTGCTCGCCAGAGGCGCTGCTAGGACACGTGGTATCCGGTATAAAGTTACAAAGATGCCTGAAAAGCAAAGGGTTACAATATTGGAATAGTAAACACATTCCCTACCACAGATCCACAATAATATCACATACCTAACTAACTACGTGTTATTCAGGCTGCTGGTTCGAGAATCGAGAAGTCGGTAACGGCGAGACTCTGGCTCCAGCCGGGAATCCTTGCAGAAGGTGCACGTGTAAAGATGGCGTCGTCACGTGTAGAGACCCGATTTGCGACTGCAGCGCTCCGGGTAGCCACAGGGACAAGTGTTGTCCGCAGTGCGATCCCGCGGCTTCCTGCAGACACCAAGAACTTCATCACCTAGTCTTCAGAAGCGGTGAACGATGGATATACCAGTGCCAGACTTGTGAATGCCTGGTAATACATTAACTCCAACAACATAATTACCGGTTATCCATTGCGTTCATTTAGGTCACCTAGCGGTGCATAACCCCTTTAGAAACTGGATGAGCCTGTTAACTGGGATAGGACATCACACCACTGATCATTCGCCATTGTTAGATTGTAATCGATAGATTCTCGGCGAGATTTTGTTGAAATTGATTCAATTAATTTCAGTACGGCGAGATAGACTGCTGGCAGATGGAGTGTCCACCGGTGACCTGCTCCAATCCCGTGACTGAGGACGGGGACTGTTGTCCTCGTTGCGAGGATGACCCTTGCGCGAGGGAACTGCCTGGAAACGGTACCTCGCTCTCGGTCCTCACACGACCACGGCCCTGCAGCTACTCAGGGATCATCCACGACAGCGGCAGCTCCTGGCAGGATCCCCATGACAAGTGCACCACGTGCGAGTGCAAGGTAAGGAGGACGTCCAGCCACGGTCACGTGGAAGGGCCGAAGAAACCGAATCGTCGGTCCTTTACCCGTGGAAGGTCCGCAGGATACGGGTAGGATAGGGGGGTTCGTGGGAGAAGAGAGGCGAGAGACTGAGAAGAACCGATGATCTTGATAGTTATAAACTATATACCTTCTGTTCCATGGTATGTCAGTTGGGAACTCAATGCCCATGGGACCACGTAAGTTCCCTTCGTGAGTCAACGAATCATGTAAATATTTTACCTTGAAAAATGATGATAATTTGAAGAAGGACCTCTGATCAGCGTTTCTTCTCGTCGCGCTCTCTTTTCGCGCGAAATCAAGAGCTCAAGGTCAGTAAACGAAAAGTAAATATCGCCTTAAGTTAGCCGTGAATCTGTCATGTGTCTAATCAGTTGCGTTCACTATGATACGTCGAGGAACGACCAGTTGCTGTGCGGCAGACGTCCATGAGAAAAGAAAATATCATGATGTACATAATACACGTGGCGGATTAACATTATGTTAATATTTCATTTCTCTGTCTGTTCTCTTTGCGCAACATGCTTTCGCTGGACTTGAATTTAGGCGCTCAATTAACATCGCTTTATTTATGCATGAACGGTTTATTTAACATTCGCCTGATTAATAGTCGCGTGGGAGGAGTTGGCGCCTGAAAGTGAGGCGGGTTGCATTTGTTCAGGTGCAACGTATTTAGACACGAAAGGGTCGTGTATATTATAAACATACGATATTAATTATGTATCACTTTAAGTCTAGTAAATTTATATTAATTTATATATTTTTCTACCGCATTTCTGTTAATTTAATAAAATATCTGTCTGCTCCGGGCCTAAAACGATTACCCCTGAACGAATGCAACCCGCTTTGGCTTTAAGTGCAGACTCCTCGCGAGCAACTACATATTACATTGATGTCTACGTGTCTGAAAATGGATGTATAAAATATTTACCATAATTCTACGTTGACCAGTGAACAATATTTACTTGACTGTGTCGTTTCTCTTGTATATATGTATTAATTTATTTATAAAATGCTTGTAAAGCATACGGGTATCTTTCGCGACCAATATTGTTATAAAATGTGCGAATAGTTAATCCTAATAACCGAAATACGAAGTTAGTATATTTTTGTTTAATATGAAGGGTTGATAACAGGAGCATAGCTTGTCGTGTATCTAACCAATCGTTATTTTAAAATTCATTGACATACTATTGAGTTGAGATTGAAACAAATTCGTCCGCCACGTGTACAAATAGAGTCACACACACGAGCATATATACTTTTTTTGTTTCCTCGCTCTCTTTCGCTCTCTATCACTTTTTGTCTATCTTGTTTATTTATCGCGTCAGTGGGTAACCCTCGTATAATACAAGGTGCCTAACACACTGACTGTAATTTCTTTCTAGTATGTCATTTACTTTTGCGGTGTGTATAACGCGAGTCGACGTTGCAAAGCTATGCGCTAAAATCTTGGTCTTCGACACGCTGAGAGAAAGACAGTGTCAAACTGAACAGGATAGCAAAATTACTTCGTTAGTCTTTGAAGTTCCACTCAGCCTAATTAACTTTATTACCACTAATACAACTATATATATTTCATACACATAACATGTGGATGTATTTCGTTTATGAGTGAAATTTTACACAATCTAGGACCTAATCAACACTTTAAATATCCGATAAGTTGACAGAACTAAACAGAATATACAACATCCCCTACATTCTTTTCAAATGGAGATGTAAGACCTTTGGGTTGCCTGAGGATTCGGTAGTTGCAACTAAAATAGATTAGAATTTAGAGATATTCTACTTCAAAGACTCGACGAAACGTTAGAAACCACTCGAGGGACCCTGAGCAAACTAGTTAGATTGTTTGGGTGTCTAGAATCCGAGTCAGTTGTCTAGGAACACGTTCTCTCGGCGTTGGCTACCATTGCGTCGTGCTAGTCTTGTCATTATGCGATCTCAAGCTGTACTTCACCACTTGTAAATTACTCCAAGATCTCTTTTTTGGCAATACCAGCGTCCGAGACACGTTCAGGGGCGTCCCTAAGCTAGCCTTGAATTAGATCTGTGTATAATTTTTTCGTTGGCTGCCTCGCACGCGGCAGTGTTCATTATTATTGTTAGTCTTTCACCTTCAGTAAGAAAGACGACTTATTCCCAATTCGGCACCGTATATACTTATTAATGCATGTCTATCCAAGTGATCAGAGTAATATCATTGTTATCTGCGTATACGTAGAAAACGGGAGTCATCGTTGTTATTATTTTTCGTAGTGACAATTGATTTACCAGTCGTAATACGTTTTTGTTTGACCCTCGCTCACTGTATGGACCAGGTGCTAAATAGCTTGGACGAAAACAATACATCGATCTCGAACCGATCAATCGTTGACGCGGGGTATTGGTCTCTTGGATCGATTAAACGACGTCGTTGATCTCGAGGATACTCGGTTGTTGTTGTCGATCATCGCCACTGTCGGGCTGTTTCGAATGCTAGAATAAAAAATAACCTCAATGGAGATGAAATAGCTCACTTACATCTCTATGAAGTCGTTAATTGTAACTGGCATTAAATAATAAACTCGGTAGCACCTGTGGTAGTTGCGTGCTAAGAGTTCCTACCCGGGTCATCCGGGGTCAAGTTTCTTCAGGCGCCATCTCGCGAGGCGTGCGCAAAGTTCGAACACACGTGATTGCCCCTGAACGATTGCGACCCGCCTTACACTCGGGTATAAGCTCTTCGCGCACGACTAGCACGCGAAATTTTCCAATTTACCTTTTTTAAATTATCCGAGAAACCAATACTCCCTATCGTAAATCAAAATTTCGAAACGAATCGAACACTGCCGCGAGATACAGAAGGACTGCGCGCGCGATCGATCAAAAGACGTAAGTTCTGATTCGCCATCGACTCATTCGCTATCGATAGAACCAAAGGAATAAAAAAGAAAATTCTCACTGCTTCGGGTCGGCCCTGCATGGATCGTGTTCAGTACATACTGCCTGGCGACGATTAATCGAAAGCGGACCCGACCTCATAGCGACCGACCGTGTAGCATGACCTCTACCTCGTCGATCCGATCACGTCAGCTTTCAGTCTCGATGGAGACCAATCGCATCTCCGAGAACAAGCAAAGAGAGCAACCTGGAAAAGATCAGGAGAAATTTAATAGAAAAATTCAATGAGAATAGACAGAGGCAACAAGGCCCGGGAACAAAGTGTCTAACGAACCATCGAAACGGGGATAACCTAGCTTAACGGAAGCATAGAGCCGATGGTGCGTGCTCTCGTGAACGGATGGGACGCGGAGAGGGTAGGCTGATGCGCTGAGCAAACACGAAAGACTGTAACCGAGTGCTAATACCGTAACCATGTTGTGAAATTTTAACCCCGCCATATTGCCCGTGACGACTAACCTGATAGCCTAACGATGGGTATCCTTGCAGGTGCCGTACTGCGCCCAATTGGTGAGCAATAGCGCGTGTTGTGTGCATCGGTAATCACGTCACTTCTACCTCACCTATAAATCTCTACCCGCCTCTTCTATTTCTTTATTAATGTTCTCTTACTGTTATTGTTTACTGTCCATGACTAATCTCGAGCTCGAGTGCTTTCGTTTCTCCTCCTGCCTGCTTAGATAGTTCTCCAGCACTGCTACCGAATACCCGTTCCAACGCTTGTTCTCCCGTGTTTCTGTTTCAATCTTTCTTCTCTGTACCGTTCGATTCTTAGACTCTAGCGAATCCGCGTGTCCCCGTTTAGAGGTCTTTTCGTTCGTTGATTGCCGCACGTTGGTCACCAGGCTTTCACTTAACGTTCTCTTCGGTTAGGTTAGGTCTACTGTGTATGTCACGCGTCTGCTGAAATTGTTGTATCATTTGATTAAAATAGCATTTGCATAAAATAGTATAGTCCGGTGGTACGAGGTATTTATTGCATAGGGAGTACGGAGACAGGTGTCTGAAACGTTAAGATTGGATTCTATGTGAAGAATAATGATGTCATCCTTTGGTACAGACGAAAGAGTTAAATTTTTCTTTGTGGTTCAATTTAGTAAAGTCATTTGTACAAAGAAATTGTTCTATGGATGAAGAGAATTTTTGCAATCAGAATGTTCGTATACGTAACAGACATGCACTACTTGAAATTGTCTTAATTGCATATTTCTTTTAAATGTCAAACAGTGTGAACAGTGTAAAATGGAATACCTTCTACGAACATAATAATTTCATAGGACCATGTACGTGACTGTTGGGCGTATAAAATAAAATTCCTCGTAAATGATGCGTGACATAAACAGGATTTAACATTAGGCCAAGAAAATGTTAGCATCAAGGGTGAATCGCGAGCACGTCGCATGTTCCATACGTTGAATTCTTTGTCAAAGATGTTCTTGATCGACGCGTCGACGAATTTTTCAGTAATCTGCATATTAACTCAAGACTGATGAATTATAATAGTCTAATACCGTACAAAATACGCAGTGCCATTGAATATATATATATATATATATATATATATATATATATATATATATATATATTATTCATCAAATAATAAGTTCTTCCCAATCGATACGCTTGACGTAGTCTTGCAGGTTGCATTCGAGGCCAAACCTGGTTGTATACATTCAGGTGCAATCTTCTCAGAAGCAAAAAAGAAAAGCAATTTTTCATTTCTATTTCAAGGCTTTTAAAATTCGTGAACAGTAATGGTAATCTAAGTATCTCGATGCAATTAATTTTTAATAGAATTATTTAAAATAATCTGCTTGCAAATCATCGATCGATCGATCGATCAAGAAGTATATGGATCCTCTACTCTGGTACAGTGGCTGAATGCACGTTTACGAAAAATTAATTCGCATGCACCGACTCACCCCACGCTCTCATATCTAAAATGATTAAATTAACTTCTTTCACTTAGTTCGCACACATTACGTGGCACACTGTCGTCGATATAGATCGGAAATATATATATGTCACACACACATGTTACATATATATATGTAAATCACTTCTGGCCGGTTTCTAATTTGTATCGGTCGGGGCGCACGGCGCACGTGGTGACAGACACAACACAAAAGAACACACAGACTGCATTTTGATTCGTTTCTTTATCTTTATTTTATTATGTTTTTTGGTTACACTTGAGCCTCTTTTGCACCCTCCTCTTATCTGCATTCGAGATTCGATAGAAGCACCAAGAGTCTCTTTCTCTCTGTCTATCGAGTGTTGTCCAGCATCGATTCTGGCAAACAATTCTCCTTGATTCGATTGGAACAAGATATTTCAAATCAAGTTTACAAGTTGCAGAAGTGATAGCTACACGAAGATACAGGAGAATTAGTTTCTGTTGAAGGCAAAATTGCTGAATTCTCTATTAATCACTGCTGATTCGGAATTTTTGAACATGATTCGCGGAATAAAATCAGACGAGATGATTCTTTGACGCAAAATACGTCGAAAATGTAAAATGAACTTTTTTCGTTCGACTCCTCATTTTCGAAGACAATGACGTTTAATGTTACCGCGTCGGACGGCGCTCGCAGTTCTCGCGAACAATCGCAAAGACGCCAGTCTCAACGACTGTTCAAAGTTAATTTTCTCGCAAAGAAAGCCGCATACAAAGAAAATGCATTCCTCGGTTTCGACTTGCTTTTTAATAATAAACCCGTTTCCGTTCGAGTCGTGGTAGAAACCCAATCTCACTTTTTACAGCAACTTATTCGAGCTACTTTACCTTCAACATATCATTACAAAGTCCTTTTGACGCAAACTGATGTACTCCTAGCTTAAATCTTCGTTTAAAACTCAAACAAAAAAAAAAACAGATACTTGGTTCTCTGACAAAAATTCGCGTTTATTTTTGGTCTATTAGAACGATTGCGTTCGCAAAAGGACTACATCAGACGTTGCGATCATCTTTGCCAGAGTCGTTGCAGAAAGTAGTGAAACCTAGACACGTTTTCGTCGGGTGTCAGATACATACTATGGAAATTCATTGTTTTGTCCCCCCGAATGTCAGCATGATTGTCGTTAAGAATTCTTGTAATTGTGATCGTGATGCGAACGTCTCACAACGAGTCACGTGGGTTAAAGAGAGAAAAGGCGTAGGACCGGGTGCAACCATCGCTAGGACGTCTATTTTCTGTCTCCACGGCGGAAACGTGGCCAGTTCAACGAAACAATGAATTGCATACTATGTGGAGGATTACCTAAATATTCCTTCCGCGGTGCGAAAAGTCTTGGACTCGCGGTTTATGAAATTAAACATGGCAGCCACCGATGGGACGCCGATGGCGTAAAATCGTCGATTGCGCGACATAACACACACGCTTTCACCCTTTCACTTAAGTAAATTTGCTTTCTACAAAAGAAAAAACGTGATACGAAAGAAGCTTGATACAACTAAAATCAGGATCTTAAATCTACGTGTTTGCATTTCTTGAACAATTACGAGACTTGAATCCCATAACTACACACTGCAGCTGTTTTAGGCGACGCGCACAAATGACACAGTAACGCGTAAAGCTACCATAAGTCCCCAGAGTGTGCAAAAGGTCAGGCATGGGTGTGTAAATCATTTTTGAAACGATACTAGGCGGAAGTTACCGGACGCACCTAGTGTTACAAACCGCTAAAAGGTTATTTCGAAAGTGTCCTTCGTTTTCGAGGATTTTGAGCTTAAAATTGTGTACACTAGTAAAAACAACAAGTAGAAACTCCAATCACAGCCAAGTACTCTATTCGTCTACAACCACTGGCTGATCACGTGGTCGCAACTGACCTGCCATTAGCGTGCAAAACTTTAAGCCAAACACCTCCAAAATGGTGGCCACTCTTGACAAAAACACTTTACCGTTTTGCAATACCAGGAGTGTCTAACAACATCGACGAGTCTCATTCCAGAAATCATGTTCGCCTCGCGCCTTTTCTTTGTTAGCCAACGAACTCCAGTGCAAAATGGCGCACGACTCTGTTCCTAAAAAACATCCCTCATATCATTTCGTATCGTACACAGCACCAAAAGGGGAAGCACACGCTCGCGAAGCCCAAGACTTTTCGCGGTGAGAGGGGACCGTGAAAGGACGAACGCGAAAGACGATAGAAAGTTGCGTTCCATCCGCCGTGGCTAACCCAGTGTCCAACGAAACTCTCCGTAGGACGGGCAGCTTTGCTGCAGCTACGATTACGGCTGCGCTGGCGATCTGGACGACAACAAGCAGCAACGTCCTCCAGTCGTTATTCCTGAGCCTGTCGTACGCGGTCTACCGAGCCCTGCGGGGTCACCGATGGCTGACGGTGCACAGGAAGCAGCTCTATCAGCGGTTACCGCTTCCCCAGGTGGTGCAACAGTCGCCAGCACCTATCTCCTGTCACCCTCTTCTTCTTCCTCGTCCGTCGGCGCCAGCAGTGGCTCCAACGTCCCCAGGAAAGTCCACTGGACCCTGCAGAACGCTGCCCCGCCAAAGTCCCAGCAACAGCAGCAACAGAGAGACGATCGTCGTCTCAGAACACAACAACAACAAACAACTCCCACAGCCAGGTACCACCTGGCCACCAACGGAGCGACAACGTCGTCGTCGACGTCGCAGCGCGCCACACCCGCGGCGACGTCGTCGTCGACGACGACGGTCAAGACCCCGGTCAAGTACGAGGCCAAATCCCAAGTCCAGACGCGTCGTCAGCGCGCCAAGTCCTCGACCAGCCTCGCGAATCATCGAAGCAACGCGTCTTCTTCTTCGTCCCCATCCTCGTCGCCTACCCTCGCCGTGTTGGCACCCTCTGGGGCGGACCTGGACTCGGAGGATAACCGTTCGACCAGCAGCACGCTCAGCGACAGAGTCGCCAGCAACGGATACCGTCAGTCGACAACTCGCCATCGGAAGAGCGACAACCCGGAATCCGTGGCGCGAGACAGCGCCACTTGAGGCAGATGGCGCTGCGGACAGCTAGAAGAGAAAGAAATCAACATTGGCAAGGCATTCCAGGGGGTGTAGAAACAAAACAAGGGGTAGCCCGATACGTAGGAGCGAGCGGAGAAGCGTTTTCTATAGTCACCTTGGTCATCCGGATGAGCATCGTCGAGGGAGACCAAACGGGGAATGAGAAACGCGAGCAGAACGAAGGAGGAATCCCGTGGGAGTCCTTCCCGACAACGTTGCAACGACGATAGCGCCCTCGATCGGGGGAGAGGGTGTTTCTCCTAGCTCGCCGTCATCCTCGGTCCCTTGGACATTCGACCAGCTTCCACGGATCATCGTTTGACTTGCCGCGTCAGTCACGTCACGAGAGACATTTTCGTAGTTCGCTCGCGTGGTCCCGCGCGAGCCAACAGTGGTTGCGGAACGCGCTGTTGTGCGAGTTGTGGGCCTCAACTTCTAGTCCGTTTTAGAGTCGCGTCCCTCGCGTCGAGCAAAGGCCTTCGAAGACGGTATTCAACCAAGTATCACGATCGTTCGTTGAGGATTCGCTGAGCCCATTTCTCGTGAACGTAGCCGAGTGGTTTAGGTGTGCCAAAAACGAGCCTGCCTAAGCGAACAGCAACAGCTTTTCTCGTCTTCGCGTACCGAGGACGATCAGAGCGCACGGACTTGACGTTTTCGTTCCTCTTTTTCTTTGTTTTGTTACGAGCTCGAATAGGGACGTGGAGAGTCCCTGGGACGCGTCGTTCGTCGCCGCGATTTGTCGAACGACGCTGTTGGGTCAAGCATAAAGTTAGTCGACACACGTGCGAGTCTTAGACGAGTCCGGCCCCCGAGAATCGAGAAACTGAGCCAAGACGAAACAGAGAGACGTGTCTGCGAGTGTCCTCGGCAAACACGTAGATGCTTTAGCAATTCCTTTGGCGTATTTCATTGAACAGGTAGCGCACAATATTTGGGCCTTATAAAGTATATAAATTGTCGATGTTCCGCTATGGGAGAACCTCGTGTAATCGTACCGTCTCGGACAACGAGCAAACGGCGTATAATTATCGTAAGGAATTGAAATAACCCGACGAGAAGGAGAAACGTTATTACATAGGAGAGTTCCGTAATATACTATATAATATATACAAATATATATATATATGAAAATATATATATGTATACACACACATATAATGTAAGTATATTCGACGGATATGTGCGAAGCATAACGAATCTATCGATGTTGAGTATGTAAAGCGGAAGACAACTATGACTATAAAGTATTCTATTATGGATGATCATATCTCGTGACAATATAGGTAACGCGCGGTAAACTCCGGGAGGCTATACACAATCACTATAGCCCGTGTGTTTTTGGTGAATATATAGTCTACGCTTGAAAGTAAATTTAAGGAACATTAGGGTACTGATCTGAATTCGCGGCGATCTTCGATCGCGACGTTATTAGGGATCCGTGGTTCAGTTTCTCTGGTTTCGTACGCTGACTGGTTTATGCCTGATCCAGGTATCATATATCGAACGCGCAACCTGTGCCTCCGAGGTTAAACGAGACCTTAGGCCCTCGGACACTTTTGCACGGTGGAAATCAGACGTATCTGTTGACGTCCTCCCTCTGTCTAGGAGGTTAATCGGAAATTAAACTGGTCACCGTTTGGATAGCTGCAGGATGAGATGATGAAACATGTTTGAAACTACTGACAAGCAGAGCTACATTATGCATCAGAACTGTCGAAATATAGTCATCAGTCGGCAAGGTAAATTCTAAACAGTCGGTGTGATTGGTTGAATCGGTAAGGAAGATCCCAAGAGTGATGGTCAGTTGATAACGTTGATTACAAATGCAATCGTCAGTCGATATGTCAGAATCACGATAATCGGTTCCCTTTTTTCAAATAATCATGCCAGATAAACTACATGAGATATGGAGAACACTATACTTAACCTCACCTAATCAAGACCATCAACGCACAGTCTTTTTAAGGATCACATCTGATTGGCAATAGTAGTCTATCAAATAGTTCAGTTAAACTAAGTATACTGGCTACTTTTTCATTAAAAACCACAGAGACTCATGGACATGGTCTGCTTTATTACACATTTGATTTCTCTTACGAATTACCCCAGAAAAAAGATTCCTAGTTATAATAATCAATTTATAAGGGTGATGGTCAAAGGGACGGGAAACGGACACGTCTGACTTTCCACCATGCTAATTAGGTCTCCTGTTCAATTATTACTTGTACACCGGACGATGAACGTGCCGGCTCGCTCGAACGATTCTTTATCTCGCTCAACCCAACGCGACCACTACGATTACATTCCTCCTTGATTTACAATAAGTAGGCACTAATGAGAGAAACATATAAAAAAGTATACATATATATATATATAAATAACGAAAGAAAGAAATAATTAAATAACGAAATATACGAAGAGAGAGCACGAATATATACACGTATACATATACGGAAAAAAGGAACGGTGAAGTACTCGAGTGAATATAGAATTATAGCCAATCTCCTGATGAAAGAAAGAAGAATGTAGAGAACTTGTATAACATGCATTCGAGAGTTCATCGGTAATCGTTTGTTCAATGTGCAATAACTTAACGGTAACGGCTTAATGTGTAAAGGAGACTCCTATTAATCGCGCGGAACCAGCGATGCTCCACGTCCGATGGAGGCTCTTGTTAAGGCAACACGATATTTCCTCCGTAGCGCGTGGCTGTCGATCGTTTTTAATCCTAATTTTGTCGATCTCTTGTCAACGAACCTTTATAACGTGGAAAGCCTAAAAAGTAGTCTCTAGTACTTTGCATACACACATAAATGGTCCCCATACTATCGCTTGAGACACATCAGGAGGCCTCTAGAAATCCTAAGGGTTACATTCAATTCCAATGTTTTTTTCACAATGAATTGGCGGTATCAGTGATTGAATAGTTGGCTTATGGTCTACTTAGATAAATTGGTCCTCTTCTCCATGTTATAAAAAGTTTTCTGTAATTTGTCCAGAACTTTCTGGAAATCTCAATTCTTTCTTGGCATTTTCGTTTTCTCGTCAATCTTCAAGTCAAAGTAGTTGATCCAGAATCGAAGAACGCGTTAAGTCCATTAAGTCTTGAGACAGCCACGCGATGCTGGACTACTTACACGTACGAAGCGGCGACAATTTGTTTTTCGACGTTGAATAGATTGGTGAGAGGTACTGTCAATAAAAGAAATTTCGGGAAAAAGTTCCATCGAGGCAACGGTTCTTCAAGTACGGGACATGCACTGTTGCGCATCCACAAGAATGTCTCAGAGGGTGAGTCAAAGCTAGGCAACGCTACTTGTAGCGTATAGACTAGATGACTGCGCTAGCTCGACAATGGTGGCGCTAGTGTAGGTCTAAGTAGCGCCATATGTGCCAAGTGGCGCTGTTGTCGCTTTGAGAAGCCCCTTGTGGAAGCATAACAGTACCATCATCCCCCAGGAAGAAGAGACTTGTTTGGACCAAGTCGGATTCATGATTCTCCGCTTGATCCGCTTCGTACGTACCCCCCACACACATATACACAGACGTACACCATAAATACACACACACCCACCGGTATATTAACGAGGAGATATCGACGAGAAGCGCGTATCGGCCTGAGTAAATCATATTAATTAATATTAATAACGACTAATAACGCTGTTGCTCCTGATAATTGTATATAGACGTGTAATGTTATAGTAACAACCATTAGCGGGGCGTACATTATACATATTATACATAACAAAACATATTATAACGAACGAGACTAAATCTCATGCCGTGCGATTTTGACTACTTAACGAACGAATAAACTTAAACAGCAACGTGTAACACGAATTTACTGACGAGCAACGGAAGCAGGATGCCGATGACGACGATGACGCGAGAGCCAAGGCGGGTCTGACGGGTCGATTTTCTAGAGAGGGTTGGTACCGATCGTAGGTTACCAGTAGGGTTGCCGTAAGCTGAGCGAATGCAACCGCGTTGAGCCGTTCGTGACGTATCAACGAGTAGCAGAGAGGAGACTTAGTACGGGTGTAGAGCGGTGCGAGAAAGAAGTATACAGCGAATTGCGAAGTCATATTCGGCTCAACGCGTTGAGTATTCGCTAGCAACCCTGCTGGCAAGCCTGGTTACCAGATATCAAGCCCTGTTGTCAGGGGTCACAACGTGGTCAACGATGAATGTCAACTGCCTTTCCTGCGATCTGTCGCTCTCCTGCAATGTCGCATCGTGCCGTAAAATAGTATACAATTAAACTACAAGTAATAGATCGTATTACCTATTGTATTATCGATATCGTGTTAAGCATGTACCGACGAACTAACCTCGAGGATCGAGGGGGATAAGAGGCAGGAGTAGGACTGCGAGGCCGGCCAGACACCTAGCGGCGAGTCTCGACGTCAACTTCGGACTCAACCGTCGACTGTCGCGCCACAGCCGACGATACGTGGAACTAACGAGACGACGGAAACGCACTTGGCACAAAGAATCACGAGAATCGTCGAGGATTAGGCTTTATAGGTTCGCTATAAAGTGTACATTAGATGTAACGCCGCGTCACGTACCCCGGTAAGGAAGATGCGCGAGAATGTCTCGTTGCCAGGTGCCTCGAGCGAATAACGCGTCCTAGGAATACTAAACTTTGCAACGAAACAAGAAAGTCGATGAGAGGGCTCTCGCCCTTCGCGACGCACGGGAATCACCTCCGACATTTTTTAGAACCATCGTCGACGCCCGGACGAGTTTTAGCAGAACACACGCGGCGCGGTATCATTCGTCGGGTCGAGTTACAAAGTAACGTCGCTTGTCTTTCAAGAGACGCTCCTGAACCTCCATTCGATATCATCGTCACAAATCCCTGCGAGGAGTCGACGCCTCGTCTGGCAACGAGTCATTCCCCCGCCCCGATCATCCGCGCGTTCTTCGTTCGATTAGACGAGCTAGACAAACAAACAGGTCTCGTAATCAGGTAGGTAGGTTAGGTAGGTCGGTAGATAGGTAGATACCTAAAGGCAGGGCGGCGTTAGGCAGAGCCGGACACGTCGTGAACCCGTGGCGTATGAAATTACAAGAAGGACATCGATGAAAGAGGGACGAGCCTGCCAGAAGGAAACCTCGAGGACGAAACAAGAAAGAGGAGAAGAGGACGAGGAACAAAGAACTCTAAATGAACTATTAAAATAGTTAAGGAACACCGAGATCAGCCGGAGGGACTTCTTTTATAGTGTTTACCTAATATTAATACCAGTTTACCGTTATCCTGACTACTACTAGTACGCCTAATTACTATACCGAAGTAACTACTACAACGACTACTAGTAAGCGCTTATTAAAGAGAGATTAACGAAGATCTACTACAGCCAACCTAGTCCCAGTTTAACCTGTGCTCTAAACGTAGACATTACTACCGTTGCTATCTACTGGCGCTAATGTTACTGTCATCGTTTCGTTCGATCGTCGTTACGTGTGATCAGAGCGGTGTCTGCGACGTCGCCCGTGGCCCAATCCCGTTGGACAACACGGAAACGTCCCTGTTTTAACGGGATGCTCTCAACGGGGGTAGTGCTTCAGAGGAAGACGTCTTAACGAAAGCCTAGTCCAAATTGTTTACGTCGAAGACGCGTTCTCTTTACACTGGCTGCATTCAGCGGAGACAACAGTTGCGCGACTGTCGTACGATTCTCTCGAGTTCTCTGCTCTGATTCGTCCAGTCACTTCAAATAAACGAATCAAAACGGAGAATCGAAGAGAATGGCTCGAACAATTGTCTGCCGAATTCGCCCAATCGCTCAACAGTTGCGCAGCTATGTCTCTGTCGAATGTACCCGCTGTTTCCATGTCTGAAAAGACCACCAGGAGCCACGGAGACGGTCGTAGGACCACCAATCGATGCGCTGCTAGCGTTTACCGTCACAGCACTCGCTAGCGGCTGGCGCAATCGTCACTGCCGGGACTATCATCGCCATCTTTGTTCATTCGATCATCCGATCAGGGTACAGGCTGCCGACAGTCGTGGACGTCGAGTTTCTAATTGTTAACCAGTGCTACTAACGTTACTTATACTATACTAATATCGATACTGTCGTTATAGTCGATACGCAATACTATGGTCGGTTTTTTCGTACAGCCGTCACGAACGTCGCGGACATTATACCGGGTCGTCGAAGCGACGCGACGCGACGCGACTGGGACAAGGACGCGAGTGCTACGTCTGCGCCGCCCTTCGCATAGGTGTACGCTACCTAGTGATGTGATGTCGATGAATTCGCGATGAAAATGCGGAACCTCGCTCTTCCAGCGTACCTTGACCTTTTTCGACTGCCGTACTTTCAAACCTTCGTCGCTGTTTCGTCAAACCGCTAGGGAACCTGGGCAGACATACTCTCCCCGATCCATTTGGTCATTTGGACACCTTGTAACTCTTTTTGGAGCGTCGACGAAATAGGGCAGCGAACGTGTGTTTAACGATCGAGGATTGTTAGTGGCGAATGGATCCTTCACACTCGTTCAAAGACCGATCACGGTTAATTGGATTCTTAAGAGCACATGTCACTGGCCGTTTCAGTAGATGTACAGTGTCGCTGGTGTCCAAATAGACAATATGACTCAAAGCAGTTAGACATTCCAATCTTGGTAGTCCTGAACGTTTAGCTTGACCATTGCCCATAAGAATCCAGTTCGCTATTTCTGATAATCATGAATCCTTGGTGAGATAGAAAATAATTGTAAACTCTGTGGACCAGAGCTGGGTGCTGCGATGGTTCAATTCGCGACGAGCACGCGAATAAGTGGAACGCCATCATGGTGGCCACACCACTAGTGTCGCATAATCGCCGTGGCGCTGCAATAATCGCGACGCGCTCAGCACTGATATGCTATTCTGTCTGATGTACACAAATAAGGATCGAAACTACAGAGATGAGTGTAAACGATCGAAGAACTATCGACTCTATGATATCATATCACTAATGCCGCGCCATTTTCACCTGTCTACTCCTTCCTCTGATCACCAAACCTTCCTCCAATAGCTAATATCGAATCCCCTGACCGGCCTAAATTCATTTCTTTGCCGATTGAGCAAGCAGGTTTGAGTTCAGTCGCTGCCCACTGGTCATCGAGAAGCTTGCAACGATTTCTTGACACGTTTACGTCGGTCACGGGCTGAAGCTTGGCGTAGAGATGAGTATAACGGAGAATACGTGTATTTCTCGAATACGTAAGGTCCGGGATATCACAGGAAAACGTGTATCGAGCGTCGCCGGGGGCGATGGTAACCAATCGCGCAGCTTCTTTGGCTGATCCATGAAACTTGCCGATCTAGACATGTCAATGAACCGAACTGAAGTTGATCCGTACTGTACATCCTCGAGCATAATTCGACCGCGTAAATACCTAAGTATATCTTTTCAATATTTCGCCAATTCTTCGTTTGATTTTGAAATTTCATTTCACGGAGTCGTTGAAGCGCGAGTTTCGTTCAGGGTCCTGTACACGCCACCAGAGAACAGTTCGGATAAAATCAGAAATGCAAATTCCACGCAAAAAATCGAACAAACATCCGGGGAAAGAGATATATTCCCGTAGGCTGAAAGGTTCTCTCGCAATTTCTGTTCTCGCAGGATGAATGGAGATTCGACGAGCCCCCCACGCCACCGTTGTCCAAGAGTCGCTAACAGAATTGACGAAATTGATTTCGAATCGAACAATACCACGGCGACGTCCATCGCGTTTCCATGCTTGTTGTGCGACGAATGTTTCTATGTACGTGTACAACTTTAACTTGATAGCATACGAATAGAGACGGATCCAGATTCTTAAAACTGAAGGGCGAGGGGAGGGCGCAGCGACCACGTGACAGAGCACATTTACGCAAAAAACATCGAATAGGGAGGACAATCTCAGACAGGAATGATTTGCTTACCGAAACAATAAATTTTGATTCGAGTTCTATTTTTTTTATGAAATTTATACGCCACTAAATTTCGAACGGTCCTGTGTTTCCTGCCATCCCCCCGCCACCGCACCTGCTGGATTCGCCCTCGCCTACGAATTATTGTACGGTACCGCCGTGTAAGAGTGTAAGGGAGTTGATTTTCTAGTCAGGTACGAGTTACAAAATACTTTTACGTTCGACAGTAACTTTTACATCGCTGTGAATATGTAAGACGTTTTTCTTCTTTTTCTTCTCGTTAAATCTTTTTCATCGTTGCGTCGAGACGAGCGCGTCTCGCCATCGAGAGATGAGCGAACCTAAACACAGGCATACACAGGGACATACACACGCGTACACATCGATAAACAACAGATACGACGATTATGAGATACGATTTTCAATTTAATATATTAATTAAGAATTAATCTTATTATTACGATTATTATTATTATTATTATTATTATTATTATTATTATTATTATTATTA